CTTTCCCTAACTTTCCAACAGTTCACATACTTCTCTTTTTTGTTCTTTAAGATTGACAGTGTACCACAGCACTTCTTTTTTATTTGTTACACACTTCTTAAAATCATGTTAATCATAACATGTTAATCATAAATTTTCTAAACTCATTGATTTCAGCATTAATCACTTCTTCTGACCCTTTCTTATATCAACCACTTCTAGTCAGAGGATCATTCCTTTAGTCTTATTCAGACACTTTCCCTATCTTGCGTTACCTGCAGATATATTCAAAAATATATTCAAAAAAGTATAAATGATTTTATTTCAAGAAATCACACATTCTTTCTATGCTTCATTATATAAATCACTATATTCTTTCCCCTAATCTTATGTTTTGTAAAACACCTTTTGACCTTTTGAACTTCCCTAGATCAGAGTGTCTCAACATGTTTTTGTAACACATTTCGACACATTTCTTTTAGCCAAAATGCAGAACTATGTTTTTATAGCCTGCTATGATACACTCGGTTTATGACCTTTGGATACTGAGCTCAACCTTTCTTGACAAATGTCACCAATATTTTTTCTGCAATTTCAATTGCACTTGTTTTAATAAATAAATACAGATTTTGAGAGCATACATGATCTGTGTAAATATATTATTATTTTGTTTAAATGGACTCGAAAGAGAAACAGCAGGACTTGGGACTTGACACTTTTCAGTCTTGACTTGGACTCGACTCGGACTTTGCCTGTCTTGACTTGAGACTTGACTCGGACTTTGCCTTTCTTGACTTGAGACTTGTGACTTGCAAAGCAATGACTTGGTCCCACCTCTAGAAAATGTGATGCAACAGATGAAGATAGGATTGAAAGATTCTTGCTATGTTTCGATGTCGTAGGTATCCCCAGGTCAGGAATGAAAACAGCCGCTAGATTTGTTTAATAACAAAATGCCAAACAAACAGGTCCAACAGTAGAGCAAAATAAGCAACTGGAGAAGTATTCAAGAACAATACAATGCAAGTTCCAGAGAACTTAGAAATACTTCTGAGAATAACTTCTAATGCATGTTTAGTGATTTGCACTTTTATACCTGTCTGTGTGTGTTTAAATGTGGTAGACCATTGGGGGACATTGGGAGGAGAGAGGTTGGGCCTTTTGTGGCCAATGATATTAGTGTTATCGTCCTGGTAGCTGATCATGGCTGTGCCTGCAGTCAGTACTATGTGGTGCTGCTGTTCCATGATTTAACGGGGTCAGAGGATATGACTTTGTAGGTTTATTAACCTTTTATCACTGAGCGGGGTGTTATCACAAAGGAAGTGGACGGTGGCTCAAAGGGAGTGGACCGATCCTTGAGGCAAAAACAATGGGGGGTTCTCTGTAAGGATGTGAATCGGGGGTCTTTTCATTGTTCCCAGGGAGTAGAGGTGTTTTGGAACAGCAGGGAGGCATCTGGGGAGTTAGTGTAATACTCGGGAAAGCCTTTGGAATGCATATCTGTGTCTTAGCAGCTTCCTGCTTTCAGACTCAAACCAATGTGAAAACCACTGAAATCTAACAGGATAAATCCCAAAAGGGAAGCTCATTACTCAACACAGCGGGAAACCCTGACATGATATC